ATGCACAATAGCTCATGGACAGTCATGATAGCAAATAAAACCAAGAGCTTTTTAGACTAATTCTCCAAACATCTTGATAAACAGTTCGCATCTCTTAGTGCACTTTTGTTCACACTGATTTTTTTGTTAGTAAACCTATATGAGGCTGTATTCACAATCCTGCACTGGACATTTAGTCGCTGGATTAATGCTATTGATGGTATCATCAAATCACTCCAAAACAAAGATTGCACATTATATTCGTAAGCTTTTTAAATAAAAGAAACTTCACATTCTTTGTTTCCAGTTTATATTGAGAATAAATCAAGTGCTCTAGGGAAGCATATTCAAGATTTCATTATCTGTAGGCTCTAATCCAATCGTATACATAAGGAGAGTAAAATGCAGAAAATGAATGTTCTCAATTTATTTCATCTGTCCATTGGATGACACAAGGATCAAGCAAGGTGTTTGTCCATCTTAGTTATTGCAAGTGTAGAACCTAATGGGTTGCAGTTGTTACAGATTAATTAATTTCACTAGTTAAAGTACTGCAATTTGTCATCAGTCCCAGTCCTCTGCTTTTATACACTCAAGGAAGTGCCACTCATTCCCAAATTAGCATGCATGGTGTTGCAGCTTTAGATTCATGCAGGTGCACTTTACAAGGTCCTTTAAGGCCAGCTGATCACAGTCTTTAGCCTTTGAAAAGACTTCAGAGTATTTTGGGGAAAAATCTATAAGAATAGGCTAACACTTGAAGATCACTCAACAACTGGTTACCCATTAATCTAGTGGGTCTGGTATCTAAGAGAAAGATGCTGAAATCCAAGAAGAGAAAGAAGCCAGAGAAATACAAGTCAACCCTTTTTTCACCGTTCAAGATATATGGCTGAGATAAATGCAACTTAATAAGAATCCACATTGACTCACAAAGGATTTTGGAGATGATAGCTCCTCTATTTGATCATCACCCCAACCAAACCAAAGTGCTTTGAGAATATCCAGCACTTTGTTCTAATGGTGTCTCTCTACATGTGGTTTTAGGAGAGATCATAAATGCTTGTTCTACCTCCCTTTTCAAGTGCCAAGTTGGACAAGGATCCCAATCCACAGATTTGGCCATCACAGCATCAGAAAGCATACAGTGAGGGCACCATGCCAAGGATCAAGAGACACACTGTTGTGGGGACTTAAAAGTCCAGGAGATAAAACCAAGCATTTATAATGGTGAGGAAATCCAAGCATTTGAAAAATACCAAACAAAATTCTGTTTCTTTATCAGAAGATCCAAAAGAAGCTCTAAGAGAGGTTGGATGGGTTTTTTTTCTTTTAAGTTCAGTTTCGTAGCTGTAGAGATCAAGCAAAGTCTGGAAGGATGATAATTAACAACCATAAAGAAAAAGAAGGCAGCTGGAAGGCTAGGTTCAGGTTTAAGCAGGCCCTTAATGATCTAATTACTGTGGGTCATTTTTGTTTCCCACAATACCTCAGGTCAGCATGGGGCATGGAGGAAGATGGCTGCCTGTGCCAGTTAAACCTGCACCTGGGAATCTGGGACAAGCATCCTCAGTGCCCAAAGATCTCTGGCAGGTCACCAGGCTTGGGGCTGCTAGGACCAGGTACTGGTCCCACCTCCATTAGGTTCTTTCTGGCTTCCCAAGAACCACCTTCTACCCCAAGGATTTTCTACCGTGTACTACCAACCACTTTCCACCCTCAGCCAAAGAGACTCACCCATGTTCACGAAGCTCATGACCATATCTGCTTCGGTGAGGAAACTGCTGTCCTGCAGGCTGGCCAGGGGTGGCCCTTGGGTACTGAAAATAGGCTTGTACGGGTAGGAGAAACCTTCGCTACTTTCACTGGGGCTCTCTTCCTCCACCGACATAGCGTTGTAGAGGTCCAGCATGAACATGGGCGCCGAGTTGTGCTTGCCGTGCAAGTGGGGCCTCGGCCGGTGGGGCAAACCCAGGATGGACAGGATCTCCCGCTGCATCTCCCGGCGCTCCTGGCTCCGGAGCCTCCTGTGGATGAAACTCGAATGCACCTCGTTCTCCAGGGTGAAGTCCGCCAGGGCGCACCGCAGCTCCAGAGTCCAGAGGAGGATCCAGAGGACCCGGGAGGCGACCGCCAGCTGCTTGAACCACTCCGCCGCGTGCATCTCCGTCACGGGGGGGTGCGGACCGAGGAAGCCAACGGGCTGGGCGGCGGCAAGAGCGGCGGCGGCGGCGGCGGCG